CAACCACCCATCCAAATCACTCCTCAGGGCCCGGCGGTGGCCAGGCAGAGGGAAGAGGCAGCTTAAAATTCAAAAATTTACCTTACATTCATCTGAGCAGCAAAGTTGGGGGAAAAAGTCAGGTAGGGCCTGTAGTGACAGGACAAGGGGTAATGTTTTTAAATTAAAGAAAGGCAGATTCAGACTAGACAGAGGAAGACTTTTATTGCACCAAGGGTGGCAAAACACTCAAACAGGTTTCCCATCCCTGAACATTCAAGGTCAGGTTGGAGGGGACTCTGAACAATCTGATCTAGTTGAAGGTGTCCCTGCTTCTTGCAGGGGGGTTGGACTAGATGACCTTTAAAGGTCCCTTCCCACCCAAAGTGTTCTGTGATTCTTCAGTAATACACCAAACTACAGATCTTGTCTTGAGAGGTCATAGTCTCCTGAGTTTCTCAATTGACACTTCGTGGGCATTTTCTCACTTCAAATTACAAAAGGGTTCCCAGTGGCTGCTGCATTTACCTGCTGTAAGGAAAGGGAAAACCCAACAACTCTGCTCAAGAATCAAAGCATCTACATGAATAGTTAATCCTTGGTAGCAATTCTGGGAATCATACCCATATTGGCAAGCTCCTAAAACACAGCTATATTTTACATAAATTTTAAAAAATCTAGAGCTAACCAGGTTTAGAAACTTTAATATCTTAACTGTAATGTTTGCATCATGCTTTATGGTGCTTTTTTATAAGCATTATGCTTTCTACCTTCCAATCATTATAAATGAGGTGACTGATACAGAAGTGTTTAAAGTTTTAATTGACATGTTTCAGGAAAAGCCAAACTGTACTGGAACAGCAATTAAATTAATGTTTTCTGTACCACAATAACTCAAATTTAATCCTAGCGCACTGGCGGGAACTTGCGTAAGTAGATTAGACTGCTTTCAGTACAATATGTCAGGTACGAGAGTGCTTTGATTTGCAGTGCTCATTGCCAGGTTAGTGTAGAACCTCCACCAGTTTAAACACTAATTTATTCTTTTTCCCCTCTGCTGAAGGGGATGTCATCCCCCTCCGCACTGAGTTAATTCATATACCTGTACATAGTGCTGAACGTTTCTTCCCTTTTATAAAAACAGGACATTTCTCACATTAAGAGTACATAAATGCATCTATAGCACAAAATTATGAGACGTAAGTTAAAATGAGGCAGATCAAGCCAGAATTGGCAAATACAAGGGCAAGCTATGACTTTCAGGGTGCAGTTCCTATCCCTGAACATTTGCATCTTATCAAACCAAGGTGCTGGAGCAATGTTCTAAACCTTTCTTAGGTGCTGAATTGTGATCTAGCAGGAAAGAACCCATGTTGCATCTACAGAATAGGAAACCACGATGGCATTGAACAAAGGTGACTTTAATTACCAAGCCAGCAACATTACCTGAATTGCCAATGTCACAACAAGAGAAGCGCTAATATATTCACTATTAGGAAGTAGGAATGGACCAGGTTACCCCTCTACCTATTTCGTGCTTGTGGTGGTTTTACAAAACAATGCAGAAATAACAGTGCTGCACACAGTGCTGTATGTCCTTCCCTTTGAAAAAAAAAACAACAGTCAGCCACCTATGGTAAAGAGGGAGGGAGGGAGGAAGAAATCTGGGAAGCCATTGAGGAACTGGGAAATGCTTAGCAAAGATTTAATTTGTTAACCAACACAGCTGTCTTGGCAATAATCTGATCACAGTGCCCAAGTACCCACAGAGACCTTAGAAAGTACCTGCCACCCACAAGATAGCTGGTAGTCAGGGCACTTAAATGAGGGAGGGAAAAGTACCTACACGAGCAAAGAGCCAGCCTCTAAGTTAAGACCAAACTAGTTCAAATTAAGACATCTTTTGAACAAAATGTCTCAGAAACCACCGAGGAGAATTCAAAGGAAAATAACAAATCCTTCCAACCCCAGGGCTCTCCTACCAGGAGGAAGGAAGCAGCGTGCTTTATCCAAACCGAGTCAGGATGTTTATTACTGAACTAAACAGGTAAAGTTCAGAGTTTTAAGACAGAGAATATAAGATGACCTCATCTGGCCATCCTTTCTGTTCTTTCACAGGGTGTAAATTTTGCATGTGCTACTTCAGTAAGACATGTGAAGTGTTGGGACCAAGTCCCACTGCTGTACCTGTGGCCTGGGACTGAACGTTCACTTCCCTCGTTAGGGGTGTGCAACAGAGGATGCTCTTTGCAGATGGTCAGGGCTCGGCAATCACAAGCATTTACAACAAGGCTTTTTACTCTGAAACCCCCATTTGTGGCAAGTTTTTGCATACGCCTGTCAAGTTCAGACACATACATAATGAAGAGGCACCTAATGTGCACATTTCTAAGTGCACTACATACCCTTGAGGCACAGCAAAGAAGGGCCTTTCATTCATATGACTGTGCTGTACTGCTCTAGCAGACAGAGATAATTTTTTAATGGCTCCGTAATGATTAATACACCAGACTAAAGCAGGGGGGAGGGGGAAGCAGGGAGGGGTAGAGATGAAGCCTTTGTTAAGGGAACGGCTGACAGCAGAGTCAGAGACATCTGTGTATTGAAGATGCAGATAAGGGGACCAGGACTCAAATTTTGCATGTCTATGCTCAGTTCCAAGCCACCAATCTTGCTCTTTCAAGCTCATCAGTTCTGTACTCAGATTTTAAAAGAAACAGCGAAGCAACAGAAGTGGAAGCACAGTACAACTCACAGTTATCTGAAAAGACACGCAGCCTAAGATTATGCACAAGACTTGCATTCACTTCAGCATGCTTTCAACAGTTCCTTAAAGGTATAAAACAAGAAGAAATCAACAAGACTTGGTCTTCTCATGAACGGTGTAATAAAAGTATAATGCTAAGCTGCTTACAGAGCCTATAAAAAAAAACATTCCTGTATAAGCAATTTAAGATTGAGTTTTAGTCACTGAATCAAAAATAATTCAGGTGCAACTCAAGCATCTGATGTCTATATGAAACAGAGACATTCAGAATTCCTCTGTTCACAATCTCAGCTACTATTTTAATATTGATTTAAACATACAAGCATTACTTCCTTTACTCCTGGCACCTCCGCAGCACAGGGAATTATTCCTTCTCCCCCCATTTTATGGATAGGCAGCAGCACTTAATGGGACAGATGTCTGTGAGGGCTAAGAGCTAATCCCCAAACTTCCCATCTGAAATTTATCCCTTACACGTGAGATCACTTTCCTCATAGAAGTTTGCTTATTTTGCTAGTATCTGTGACACAGCTGCTGCTCTTAGGCTGTTCCAGCATCACACTGGTTTTGCGACTCCTAAACATCACAAGCAAAGCAAAACAAGTCATCTGATGCTGTTGCTGCTTCCTCTCCCTTTCTGTTTTTAAACTATATTCAACTGTATCCCAAGGACTGAGATCATGATAACCTACATAACACTAATCAGCCAGAAAGCAAAGTGCTTCTCTTCAAACTACCTTCTCAGCACACAGAGCTAAACAATTTCAGAAAATGGAGATCATCACCCCAGATGCGCAGCTCTAAGACTTTGTAACTAGTCAAAACTGTAGGTTTACCTCATTACTCCCTCAGCCATACCATCTTGTAACTACTGTCCTCCTAAAGAAACACAGAAAACTGTATCTAGGGTGTAAGATGGATCTTTCTGGAGTCTCTAGCTCTGCCATCCAGATCCTTCTGATTAGATACAAAGGGTATTCCCTTTAAATAAATACAACGCCTTATGTTTAATGAAAACAGACCAGTATTTGCCCGTAACAAACTCAGACAATACCATGTTCTAATGGCAGAAGGACAGATTAGTCCCAGTATACACAATATCTACTGTCTTAACAAATGACAGATGCCTTCAGCAGAACAAGAGCAAAGGCAAGGCATTTAAAAGACCTTCCTTGTCTAAGGAGCTTGAGGATTTGCATACAATAGACTTTTTGTGACAGAAAAATGCTCTGTCATTACCACTTGTTTGTTCCATGATGACAAAGAAGAAAAAAAAAATCTGGCAAAAGAGCTCAATATAAGGAGGATTGTATGTGACACCATACAAACCCACTTTAATTTAAAAAACCTAATAGCTACAGAACAGGATACAAGCTGCCAACCCCGAAGGAGATGCTTAAGCATATAGAGTTTTCAATCTTTTAGTTTAAAATCTGTGGTGAGCAAGACCTGTGTTGCTATAAATGAGCTTTCAGACAACAACTTGATCACATTTGGGGGACAAAACCTGCACAGTGAGTTTCCAAGTACAGTGGTACAAATCCTGACTTCCAAGTCACACTCTAGAAAACAGTCAAATGGACAAATTGTAATTTAGATTGTGGCATTCCAAGTTCAAGGATCCACAGCCACACTTAAAAAGCAGGATTATTTTTTTCTTTTAACGATTATTTAACTTTGCCTGAAATGGTGTCTTTTAAAAAGGTAGGTCTGCTTCAGTACTTCTGTTTACAAGCATGAAAAAGCTTTCATACCTGAAGAATCCTGCATAGGTTTAAACCAGCTCTGTAGCACAGAAGCATTACTGGATACAACACTGCAGCAAAGAACAAGGTGGTGTGACCCTCTAACTCTAATGAAGCCACCAGAAGTCTTATCCCTACAGTCTTGGCCAGTGACATTTGAGTAGATCTGAGCTTCTCAGACTGAAAAGAAGTCTTTCCTTCACATCTGTTCATCAGTAATTCAAAAAAACAAATATGAACCAGACAGCATTCAGAAGCACATACAAGGTCAACAAACCCATCAACCCACATCATCTAAAATCAATAGTAGGTACAGGGAACCCTAATAACAACAAATTAATTTGATCTCTCCACAAAATGGAAGGCTATTACTAGATGCTTACTTCCTAGTCCACACGTGTTCAAGCCTTAAATCCAAAATATAGGGTCAAGGAATCATTAACTTCTGTTATTGTTCTGCCAACTATATAACATAACATAATATAATGAAAATTAAATCAAGTACTTACAGGGTCTCTCAGCTCTTCATTGTCTCGAGTTGACGTTCGAGGTATTTTCACCGGGATTTCATCTCCACATTCAGTGTCTGAAGCATTTGGAGACTCTGCTAAATCAAGGAACTCATCTCTCTTGTGACCTCTGAACCTTATTTTGTCCAACTTCTTTAGCATGTTCAGCACTGCACTCTTCTGCTTTACCTTAACATGACGGTTGGAGTCTCTGCAAGAAACAAAACACCAAGAGTACTTTAGAAAGCTTGCAATAAATCTGAATACGTGCATTCTAATCACTAACTACTTCTAACCACCTTTCAAGGGCCTTCCTGCTGCTGGAGGAAAAACATGCTCCAGATTAGCTTTTTAACAGGCATTTTTTTTCCACAGTGTAACAGATGCATGGTTTGGTTTTCAGTAGTTGATGATTTACCATCTTCCCACACTATTATGGCCTCCTTCTCATGGCTATTTTTAAAGCGAGTCAGGATGGGCACAAGCTAACAACCTGCACTCCAAAGAAAGATTAGCAAGTCAATTTCTAACAGGTTACATGAAACAAAAGTTTAGCTGGTAAGACCACATTCTCCAACTTGCTGATACATCTAATCAAAGACACGAAAATCCACTAAGCTTCACAACCCATCTTTAAATTCCCAGAAAAACTGGAGCAAGAGGCTGTTGTTTCTCCCTGCTGCTTCAGGCTAAGGAAACAGAAAATAATAATGGTTTATTGAAGAAAGCCACCAGACAGATCCATGCAGAACATCCCATCAAAAACTAGAGATTGTTGAAAATCAACCATAAACTGCATTCAAACTCACTGCCAAGATCCCTGAAATTACCACTACTGATACTCTTGTTTACCTTTCGCTAGATCTCTATCACTCCCTTTGAGATGCAAAGGAGAATCACTTCATTAGTGAAGCTTTCACATTTATGTTTTTTTTCCAACTAGCATGACCAAAAACTTTACTGGAAGAGAAACAATGCAGCCGGTATTTTTGCTGAACGTGCAGGTGTCATAGAATCAGGAGGAATGAGAAATGGCCAGGACATTTCACTTCCAGAGACAGTATTTGACATGAGCAATACTTAAATTATAAATCACAAATCGTACTGGGAGAAGTACTTTGCTTTTCAAGAGACAATAGAAGAAAGCTTAATTAATGTACGTAAACTCACTGTAATGGTAGCTTTCCAAGACACTGCACTGTATCATTTCTGATTTAAACCAGACCTGCCAAATCTGTCCAATTCAATGCTCTACACATATCACACGGTACCAAAAGTGTACAATCTCCATCTTTTAAAAAAAAAAAAAAATTAGTTCCTTGGTCCTGCTACTCTAGCAAGGTACTGCTCTGGCAGTTTATAATGAAGCAGCCACAATTTTCTCTCCTATAAACTCTGCTCCTCAGCTCAGAGCGTTCCATTTGTGTGGTGCCGCAACGCTCTCCCAAATGGACTTCTGCAGTGCTAAAAATTTATTTTGAGACATTTGTTCCTGCAACTAACCTTTTTTTTTTTTTTTTTTCCTTTGGTCAATGTTGCCCTTCCCTTCATTAAAAAAATATGCTTAGTTTCATGGCACATCACCCCAGGCACTGGTGTGAGATGAAAAAACAAAGGTAGATCTAGACATGTGTCACTTCAGGCATATAAATAACGAGCAAGAAGGAAGAGCCTTTTGCCACTGGCTCCCACAGCCTTTGCACTTGAGGCAATTCTCACCTCCTAACACAAACTTCTTTTCAACAGAGCTCTTCGTCTTTCCCTAGGGATTCTCCACTTACCCTAACACTTTTGCAGTGACCATTCACACCAAGTTGGGACCAGACCGTCCACTTCAAAATCTGCCTTACTTTGCACCTCTGCCAAGGTTTATCAGCACCCTTCACATAAACACAGAAGTTTGAAACCAATACAAATCCCCTACAGTGCAGCTGGAAAAAAAGAAACCCACAAAACTCTTCCTTTATCAGAGATGCTTAAAGTTGCAGCCCTGTGTTTAATATTTTGCTTAAAGAGAATCACTTGCGGTAGATCACACCAAGGTTATTTTCTATGAAGAGCTTTTCTTTGAAATTCTATTACTTGTCAAAGCTAAGTTTAAAATAGAAACACTTCTTGCTCATTCATTGACTATTTGATGAAGAAACTTGTCAGCTATCACATCCAGAAATATCTCCAGGCCCTACTATTAATAGCTACTAGAGAACAAATGCTATCAGGGAAGTTTAAACCTCTGATAAGCACCAGCACAGTTGTATCATGCTTCCTTCCATCTCAAAGATCTCCATCTATGTTCAACCAGTTTTACATACCATGTAACTCACACCTACAGCAAAGCAGTTGTAAACCAAACCCCATTTGTTTGTCATCCATGCTGTCACTGCTAACGATACAGCTATATAAAGAAATAATAAAAATGGTAGAGTGCTCTCCCTCTTCTGGTCGGCACCCATCAGCCCACACCAGTGGAGGACACACATGCATCCCAAGCCTTCTCCATCCCTCTTATGGATAGAGCAGTCAACTCAAGACTGCAGACCTGTGCAGAATCAGAAGTCCCCAGCATTCTCCTGTTAAAGCCACATTTGTCCACTGCTCCCCAAATACCAGGGCTGGATCTGGACCTCTTTTTATAGCCTGGCATATACAGTACTTCAATGGACAACAATCCAAGATCAGTTTTCCCCTTAGAATGGATTCCCATTCAGTTACCTCACAAAAGAAGCAAGAAGCAACTAAAAAATCTCAAGACAAAGTAAACTCTATACTCTTCAAGCTTTGTCTTCAGGCAACGAAGAATGAGAGAACCCAGGAGGTGGGTGAAAACCCACCCCAAGCAGATACACTGCTGGGCCTTTTCAGTATCCCAGACAGTCTGGGAACACCAAGCTCTAAACTCCAGCCTCCTCCTAGGACAGTTCAAGCGTTTTAGCCTCAGTCGCAGAATAACCTGCCCAAGAGATGCACCCCTGAACACATCTATGGTATTTTTACTAGTAAAACTGATCTATCTACTCTTAAGTATGTTGCTACCTGGTCTTTTAAAAATGCAAACCTTTCTTTAAAACACCAACAGACCACTCCACTGAACAGAGTCAGCTTAAATACTCTAACACAGAGACAAGCAAAAAGATATGCCATCGGTACAACTACTTTTTAAAGTATTATTCAGTAGGTTGACCATTAAAAGAGGAAATAGTAAAGAATCAGGTTCCTAGACATTTTTTAAGTGCTTTAAGTACAAGAAGCTGTTATATAAAAATATCTTCTCAGTTATAATTTAAAAATAATAAGATCACTTTGTCTAAAAATTGAGTGCACCAGGCTCCCAGATTGCTTACAGTTACATTAGATTACCCTAAGCAAAAACCTGAGCTTGCCAACAAGCTCCTATAGAAACTCATTATCTGGCCTCCAGCCAAATGCGCGATCTAAGACAGGCTTTTTATGTCAGCAGCCTGTTCTTGCAACCAGCAACTTCTTTCTTTTTTTTTAGATAAAGATCAATAAATATGGTGACTTTTCAGCAGTTTCAAGCTTACTAACAAAAAAAAAAAAAAGAAAAAGGCTTCTCAGAGACTTTCTATTCCAAGTGGCTCAGGTCAAATTTATATAAGCTTGAGGAAACTTTTGTAAATTGTAAAATATAGACCAGAATCTTACCTAGCATTAGCGCTATTCTAAAACACGGTAACTAAATATAAAAAACACTTGCTTTACCATCATCAGTATTCATTGCCTCACAGACTTTCTATTCCAAGTGGCTCAGGTCAAATTTATATAAGCTTGAGGAAACTTTTGTAAATTGTAAAATATAGACCAGAATCTTACCTAGCATTAGCGCTATTCTAAAACACGGTAACTAAATATAAAAAACACTTGCTTTACCATCATCAGTATTCATTGCCTCACCTTCTCCCATCTACCCATCCACATCCCAGCCTCAACTGCTTTGGCTCCAAGTTCCAGGCTGTTTCCAATAACTCCCCATACAGCAACATCAAAGCCAACATGCAGTTTTGCACATGCAGAGCTCAGAGTGTGAATGCAGACCGACATCTCCTTCTGCTTTCAAATCAACCATAAATAAATATTATGAAATGATAACAAAAATACAACTATTTTAGCTACATGCACTGTAAACACTCTCATACATGTGACAATAATTGTTCTCACACCATACAACAAACAAGCTATAAATAAGAATTAAGACCGATATCATGCTTGCAAATTTTTAACTTGAGCAAAATAAAATCAAATCTATCCTTCCCGATCAAGTTTATTTCTGCGTACAAACATCCTACCATTAATGCAAGCAACAGAAGGCCTTTTCCACATTCAGTGCTATAACAGAAAGTGCTGCAGAGCACAGTAAGGCAGATGCTGACTCTGCAAAACTGATTTAGGTCCCCCTTTGTTGCACTTCAGACAGACCAAATAGTACTAGCAGACCCTCTGTTGTAATATAGTAAGGATATCTTACATTAACATGCTTACAAATAAGGCTATTCAGGAACCCAGGTTTTTAAGGTGGTGGCTTTTATTTCTCTTGTTGCAGTAGCAGAGGTCAAACTAGCAAAATTATCCTGAAGTCCCAAACCATCTTATAAAAAACAAGGCAACAGTTTATGTATACAGGGCTTGATTAGTGAAAAAGGTCTATTATCTTCCACACTTAAAAAAATCCCCAAACTAAAATCAGCCTTAGAACTTGGTGTCCTGGTTTGGTTTTGGGCTTTTTGTTTGTTTTTTAATTGCCATTAATATCTAGTTGCTAAAAGCAATTCATTCAAGGCTGAAGGATTCTTTTATGGAGAGCCAGAGAAGAGATAACATGAAAACCCTCAATTAATCCCCAAATAACTGTCAGACATTCAGTTGAAACAAATATATCAGGACCCAAAACCCCAAACCAACACATACATATATTCCAAACTTATGCTAAGCACAGAAAAATCAAGCTTGGGATGCAGAAGGGAGGAGAGAACTCAGGGAAGGGCAGCACTCAGTGCACCGCTGCTGTCTGAAATCCACCTCAACTCGCCCCCAAGTCTCCTACAAGTGGCTTATAGGTTTTGGTTTTCTGTCCTTGCACCTGATTTCTACACAAGAACATGATGAATCAGAATATGTGGCCTGGTCGACTGGGCAGCAATTGAACAGCTAAATCTTCATGTGCCCTTTGTCGGAGAAAGGACGCTGCTTCTCAGC